GTGAAGACCTCCTGGAATTTCTTATTCAATTCCTCACACACTTCCTTGTCATTTGTAGTGAATCCTTCCGCCCCTATCCTTAATCTCATAACCTGTTCCTTTACTGTTGTTTTTCTCCTAATGTGGCTATGCAACAATTTAGGCTGAGTCTTTGCCTTGCTTGCGATGTCATTTTCGTATTGTCTTTCTGCCTCTCTTCTCATCCTGACATATTCATTCCTGGCATTCTGGTATCTTTCTCTGCTCTCCAGTGTCCTGTTATTCCTATAGTTTCTCCATGCCCTTTTACTTTGCTGCTTAGCTAGCCTACATCTTTGATTAAACCATGGGTTTCTCATCTTCATTTCTCTGTTTTCCTTTTGGACTGGGACAAACTTGTTTGCTGCGTCCTTGCACTGCTGCGTGATGTAATCCATCATATCTTGGGCCGTCTTTCCCCTGAGCTCTGTTTCCCATGCTATATCTGTTAGGAATTTTCTTATCCCCTCATAGTTTCCCTTTCGGTATGCTAACCTTTTGGTTTCGGTATCCCTCCTCGAGTTCAATAACCCTTCTTCAATCAAGTACTCAAACACCAGTACACTGTGGTCGCTCATTCCTACTGGGTCCTCAAAACCGATTTCTCTTATGTCGGAGTCGTTCAGAGTGAAGACTAGGTCGAGTCTCGCTGGTTCGTCATTGCCTCGCATCCTTGTGGGTTCTCCGACATGCTGGGTTAAAAAGTTGCTTGTCACCACCTCCAATAGTTTGGCTCTCCACGTATCCTCGCCTCCATGCGGTTCCTTGTTCTCCCAGTCAATCTTTCCGTGATTGAAGTCGCCCATGATGAGCAGGTGGGATCTATTTCTACAGGCAGCAGAGGCTGCCCTCTCAATTATAGTGTTAACTGCCTTGTTGTTGTTTTCATACTCTTGACTGGGTCTCCTGTCATTTGGTGGAGGGTTGTATATTACTGTTACTACTATTCTTGGTCCTCCCATTGTTATGGTGCCTGCTATGTAGTCTCTGAACTCCTCACAGCCCGGGATGGCCATCTCCTTAAAACTCCATTCCCTTCTCATGAGTAGGGCCACTCCGCCTCCTCCCCTACCTTCCCCCTCTTTCCTTATTACTGTATACTCCTGGGGAAACACGGCATTCGTTATGATTCCAGAGAGTTTTGTTTCAGTGAGTCCGATTACATCTGGGTTAACTTCCTGTGCTCTTTCCCTTAGTTCACTTGTCTTGCTTGTGTGTGTGTGTGTGTGTGTGTGTGTGTGTATACTGGTGAGTATTGTATTTCACCTTTGTAAACGCACATTAACGACGCTGTGTAAAAAGACACCTCCAACACTGTTTATGTAAGACAAACGTAAATCTTTGTATTTATGTCTGTAGGTTAGATTAGCATTTTAAAAACACTACAATCACCTTCTGCAGTCGATTGTTCAGTAAACCACACAATTATATATTTAACAGATCCCTAACCTTGTCATGGAGGACAGAAGAAAATGTATATATGCTGCTTAGCATTGTAAATGCCTGGCCACGTCTGTGGTAGAAAAAACATAAAAAAAAACTGGCCGCTCCCTCTCACGTTGGTCACTCCCAGGACTCTCTGTCGACCAACACATCTCGTAAACTTTGAATCATCACTGGCTGAACTTTGAATCATCTCGTAAACTTTGAATCATCACTGGCTGAACTGTGCGCGCACATTAATGACCTTCGTAAGGATGTTTTTACTGGTCACAGGCGCTGTGTGACACGTGAAGGTCAGTGCCCCTTCCCCCTTACCCCCTCTGACCTCTTTTGTTTACACTCTATCAAGGTCACAGCTGCCAGCACAGCCCGAGTGAGAAAGGTGAATGTTTATGTAACTTTTGGTTTGTACTGATTGTGTTCTGATCATGGTTAGGAAATTATCTTTATCCGGGTTGTCCTGGCCACCGATGGAGCGGACAAAGGCTTTGTGACACTAAAAATATACAGTCTGTTTATCTTTCTCTGGTCTCATTATTTTCGCGTGGTTATAGAATTATATGCAGGTGGGTGTTTGATGTTCCCGGGGTCCCCCGGGGGAGGCGAGCACCGGGGTCCACTGGTGACCCCTGGGGTCCCCGGGGGAGGCGAGCACCGGGGTCCACTGGTGACCCCTGGGGTCCCCCGGGGGGGCGAGCACCGGGGTCCACTGGTGACCCCTGGGGTCCCCCGGGGGAGGCGAGCACCGGGGTCCACTGGTGACCCCTGGGGTCCCCCGGGGGGGCGAGCACCGGGGTCCACTGGTGACCCCTGGGGTCCCCCGGGGGAGGCGAGCACCGGGGTCCACTGGTGACCCCTGGGGTCCCCCGGGGGGGCGAGCACCGGGGTCCACTGGTGACCCCTGGGGTCCCCCGGGGAGGCGAGCACCGGGGGTCCACTACGCACACAGCCTGCAGGAAGACTTATCAACACCCAGTGACCCCCAGACGATAAGACGTCCAGCGTCCTGTGAACTCTGCGTAATAAAACAAGTCACAGCCTAACAGTAACATCGCGATGGCTCCTCTTAAACTCGAGCTAAAAATGGTGCCAAAACGCTATCACGTCTTCAAGTAACCTCGGACGGAGCAGGAGCCAGACGCCACCACCACGCCCCAAGGGCACACCAACTCCCGCCACCACGGACCAAGGCAACTCTCCGCCGAACACAAGTCTTTCTCCCTCCGATCATCCAACCGGAAAACTGAAAAGCATCATATCTCCTGTAGCGCCAAACGATAAGTGCGCCAGGTGTCGTATCACCAACCCGTTCTCGCACTTTCTTTAAGTCAATATTGACTTATTAAATAAGTGCATATGTGACATACTAATTTATTGTGAATATTTTAGTTTACCTTGAAAAGCTTCATAGAAAACACCGACCTTACCTAACCTTTTTAGTATGTTAAGATAAGCATCTTATTGCTTCTTAATTACTATTATTACTTAACCTATTATAGGTATAGGTTAAGTAATAATTGTAATTAAGAAGCTATAAGATGCTTATCTTAACATACTAAGAAGGTTAGGTAAGGTCGGTGTTTTCTATGAAGCTTTTCAAGGTAAACTAAAATATTCACAATAAATTAGTATGTCTCACATGCACTTATTTAATAAGTCAATATTGACTATACGAAAGTGCGAGAACGGGTTGGGTATCACTCTGGGCCGTTCAGCAGGAGTGCCTGACGGCAGTGTCGACGCTTAATGGGTAAAATCGCGCCAGGTGGCAGATGTCACCAGGCAGAGCAGCTGTACAAACATCTACTCGGTATCAAGGTTGAACCAGGAAGACAAGTAATCCGGAGTTGAAAGCGCTAAGCGAGTATGAGTGTGTGGTGATTGGAATGGATAGCAAGGATAAGGGACTAGGCGAGGACGAAGGGAAGGAACTGTGCCTAACCACTTGCACCATCGGGGATCGAACGTAGCCCTGCAAACGAGGCCTTCGATGTAGCGACGAGTTCGCGTGGAGTGACAAGACGTTCCTCATTTGTTATATCCACCATCTTCGTTCGCGTTATCACCGTAAATGCTTATCGTTTACCGTGACCTACCGCTACCCCTCGTCGTTATTGTAGTGAGAGAGTTCTGTATAGGAGATGTATGGAAAGCAGCAGTGAAAACAACTTTGGCAAATGCAAGCGATGAGTCACATTAACGTGGCTAAAGTATGTTGACCAGACCACACACTAGAAGGTGAAGGGACGACGACGTTTCGGTCCGTCCTGGACCATTCTCAAGTCGATTGTCGATTCACAATCGACATGAAAATGGTCCAGGACGGACCGAAACGTCGTCGTCGTCCCTTCACCTTCTAGTGTGTGGTCTGGTCAACAACTTTGGCAAAGTTCAGTAAAGTCGGACTCGGTGTAGAGGCGGAGAAGGTGGTGTAGAACCAGGAATTATATTTGCGAAAAACTCGTTTGTAAATTTCTTCCCGTTATCATTGGTGGCCGTTACCAGGGAACTCTGCAGCGACCAGTGTTACGGGAAGTAATACCGCAGCCCCATCCTCGATTGATTTGATTGATGAAGATTAAGCCACCCAAAAGGTGGCACGGGCATGAATAACCCGTAAGTGGTGGCCCTTTTAAGCCATTACCAGTGTCAATAGATGATACTGGAGATCTGTGAAGGTGCGACTGCACCCTGCGTGACGGGAGTTCTCTCTCCCGTCAGCCCATTCTCCTGTTGTGGTAGTACTTATAGTACCACCATAGTACATATACCGACGTACAACGCAATTAGAAAGTAGCAATCGGTACTATTGAACTTTGAATAACCGGAAGAGATTTTCTATATTGCAAAGGCAATATGAATATATAATTTATATTTTAGTTTCATTTGTTTTCGGATTCTATTAAAATGAATAGTACCAAATTGTACTATCTAATTGCTAAGTACGTCAATCTTTGTACTATGGAGCACATAGTTACAAAAACTACTATCTAAACAGCAGGACGGGTTGAATAATGCATGTTGGACAATCTTGGGCCCTTCGTGTTATTTAAAGTTATCTCTAAGCGCATTGTACCTTTGATTTTCAACGGGGGGGTATTCTGCACATCCTGCCATGCCTCCTGGTCTCGTGTGGTGTTATTTCCATGACTTTTGGAGTGATTTGGAACCTGTCCCTCCAATATTTTCCTGCTACCTGGTCACGAGTTAAGCACCACCACCACCACACGCGGCGCTCCTTATCTTGGCATGATAAGGAGATGTCGTGTAGACATCTTGGTTACAGAACGACGATATACATGTGCTTGAGCTGCTCTAGTATGTTGCTCATTCCTGTCCCGTCCCTTCCCCCCTCTCTCTCTGTCTCTGTCAGTCTCTGTCTCTGTCTGTCTGTGTCTCTGTCTGTCTCTAGGGAGAGGGAGCATGTACAGCTGTCTCATGGAACACCATATTGGTGACAAATAACCTTTTTTTAACGGGATTTCCAATAACATAGTGATAAAATTTTATCTTTTACATAATGTTTATATTTTTTTCAGAATAAACCTAATATAACTAGATATTTCTGATCTCATTGTGATAACCAAGTCGTTATAGTGAGGTTGAAATTAGTGTTGAGTGTGTGTGTGTGTTCACTCGCGTGCAAAGAACACAAGTCATTGTGACGACATCCTCGTTAATGTGACTACAGGCCTAATCACCCTAGTGTGCTCGGGGCACAGTAATCACCCCGGGGGCGGAAAAAGTCAAATCACCATCGTCAAAAAAATACTCCCGGTGCAAGAAAAGCATCTGTGCCGCGTTAGTGATTTAGTAAAGTTATGTGAGCAGTTGGTGCGGATGAGAAGGTGCCAGGTGGGGGTGAAAGGTGTACGTTGGCACACTCTGGGTGCTGGAGCTGGCACTGGTGTTGCGGCACTTGTGTTCTGGGTGCCGTCTGTGTTTTAAGATGAAGTTGTAAACAAGTGTAGTGTTGGAACACCATCGTTCAGTCGGTTGGTGGATGGCGTGAAGTTGTCGGCCCAGTTCCAGCACTGCTCTCGTCTGCTCCACTACCCACTGCTCTCATCTGCTCCACTACCCACTGCTCTCATCTGCTCCACTACCCACTGCTCTCATCTGCTCCACTACCCACTGCTCTCATCTGCTCCACTACCCGCATCGTCTGCTCCACTACCCGCATCGTCTGCTCCACTACCCGCATTTTCTGCTCCACTACCCGCATCATCATCTCCATCCCCGCGTAAAGAGCTCGACTGGCATCTGTTGCACGTGTGTGTGTGTGTGTGTGTGTGTGCAGCGGGGCGGCGCCACGGGCACAGGTGCGGGCATGGTAGAGCAGCAACAGTGCCGGGTGCCGAGTTGCGTTACTGGCACCAGGAAGATGGGCGTGCCCTGAGGGCACCGGCCTGGCACTGTGGCCCTCAGACCATGCTGTGTGTGGCCACCATGCGCACCGAGCTTGTCAACCTGGAAGGTGCCGACTCTGACTATGTCTTCATCAATAACATCAATGGTGAGTTGTCTTCACTCTGACTTCATCAATGTTTTCACTGACTTCATCAATAGCATCAATGTCCTCACTATGACTTCATTAATAGCACCAATGTCTTCACTGACTTCATCAATAGCATCAATGTCCTCACTATGACTTCATTAATAGCACCAATGTCTTCACTGACTTCATCAATAGCATCAATGGTGAGTTGTCTTTCCTACGTCTCCATTAATGGTGAATTGTGTTAACTATGCTATCATTAATGGTGAGTATCTTGATGGCAAGTCTTCAACAGTGTTGCCGGAGCAAAATTGGAAGTCTCCAAGAAAAAGCTGAATAATTTTCTTCAAGAAGTGCCGGACCAACCAGGCTGTGGTGGGTATGTGGACCTGCGGGCCGCTCCCAGCAACAGCCTGGTGGACCAAGCTCTCACAAGTCACTTGGGGAGTAGAAGAACTTCCAGAACCCCATCCAGGTACAATACAAGTACAGTGGTCATTTGTGTTGACTATTTATTCATCACTGGTGAGTTGTCTCGACTATTCATCAGTGTTGAGTTGTCTTGGACTCGCATCATCATTAATATTTCCAGTTATACTCGCCCTAAGTCCACTACGGGCTCGCCATACCCCGTGCTACTTTGGAACTTTTTGTTCCAGGTAGCGAATTTTGAACAGTTATACTCTCCTTGCTCTGCCTGGCATTAGCCTATATTTTTTTCTCGCCCAAACTAGCAACTCATGACTGAAGATCGATTGGCCACTGAGGCAGGAAAGGAAACAAACAATAACTTTGAACCATGTAATACAATTATTAAAAACATATAAATTAAGAGATTACTACATATTTAGATGTGTTAATTAATGGCCAAAGATTTGAAAGCTGCAGTATTTAAAGCTTTGACAGCTGTTATAATAATAGGTTGTGTGTGTGTGCGCTTAATTGTGCTTGCGGGGGTTGAGCTCTGGCTCTTTGGTCCCGCCTCTCAACCGTCAATCAACAGGTGTACAGGTTCCTGAGCCTACTGGGCTCTATCATATCTACACTTGAAACTGTGTATAGAGTCAGCCTCCACCACATCACTTCCTAGTGCATTCCATTTGTCAACCACTCTGACACTAAAAAACTTCTTTCTAATATCTCTGTGGCTCATTTGGGCACTCAGTTTCCACCTGTGTCCTCTTGTGTGTGTGCCCCTTGTGTTAAATAGACTGTCTTTTGTGTGTGTGTGTGTGTGTGTGTGTGTGTGTGTGTGTGTGTGTGGTCAGCACAGTACCCGGACCAGACAATGTGATGCCGTCGTTGTGGTTGTTGTTGTTGTTGTTATAGATTCAGTTACTCGGAACAAGTTCCAAGTAGCACGGGCTATGGTGAGCCCGTAGTGAACTTACCTGGCACAGGAGCGGTACTGTGTCTGTCGTTGTGGTAATTCGCCTCTGCTCTAGGCCACTCACCAACAGCGGGTCGCCCTCGTCTTTGATGAATAGAGCGGAAGGGAACTATCAGGGGAAAGCGCTAAACCATTACGCTTCTTGATAAGTAATATATTGGTTGTTATTCTTGTGTCTTAAGACCATCACAGTCGCCATTTCTACACCACTTGCACCATTACAGTTTTAACAGTCCTGGTACAGTTAAATTGTCCAACTGTATACGTTAGCAAGAGAACTATTTATGGTGTTTGAGTGGAAAGTTGAGAGATTGATTGATTGATTGATTGATTGATTGATTGATTGATTGATTTGGGAGTGGATATAATTTCAACTAACACCTGAGGAACACACACAATATAACTTCAGCAGCATATGAGATGCTGGCAAAGATTATAATGTCGATTAGACATCTAAATCAGCTCTCTTTCAAGATAATCTACTCGGCCTTTGTCAGACTACTGGACGACGCAGCACCGGCCTGGTATCCACACCCTGTGAAGCATACGACCAAACCTGAGAAAGTACAAATGTTTCAAGCAAGAAGTGTCAGTGTTAAGGAGACTAAACTATGAGAGTAAGCTCAGAGAACTAGACGTCAGAACTCTGGTCGGGAGAAGAAACAGAGGACATGATCGTAACATAAAAGTTGAATTCACAAAGTCGACACCTGGTTGATACCTGGTTGATGGGGTTCTGGGAGTTCTTCTACTCCTCAAGCCCGGCCCGAGGCCAGGCTTGACTTGAGGGAAGCTTGAGGGGCAGCTTCTTAAACTGAGTAGGACGAGAGGACATAAGTGGAAGCTGGAACCGCAAAAAAAGTCTAAGTAATGTAAGGAAGTGCTCGTACCCTGTACGGGTGGTCAACAAGTGTGCTGCACTCAAAGACGAAGTGTGGAAGCCACCTCCATTGAACATTTTAGGACCAGATTCGACAAAGAATTCCAACATCAGAATAGTTAAATTCTAAGGGAAGAAGCTGGAGCAAGCCAGCGGGCGGGCCAGAGAGGCCTCACTTCCCCACACCCACTGATATGTGAGTGTACACGACGCACGCACCGCCTACTGCGTCTGTTGGTGACTCTCTGACGCAGTATTGTCCCACCATGCTACTTACACCCCAGATCCACCACCACCTACCATTCCCCATCCACATTACCACCACCACCACCTACACTACCACCAGTGTGTGTGTGGTCGGGAGGGTGTGAGTGTGGTAAGGTTGCCTGGGGTGTGGAGGAGGTAGTGTGGTGCAGGCGGGCCCGCCCAGTCAGACGTCAGGGCAGAGCATAATGACTGCATCGTGCGCCATCAACACACAATACGCGCTCCCGCAGTCTTATCTGTGGTCAAGGATAACACGGCGCTCTGTTAACACACACGAACGCTGTGTTAACCACGGATTGCTCTGGTTTGTTGCGGGTGTAAGTGATAGCGGCGGGGCAGGGGAGGTTATGTTAAGACAACACACTACAGGAGAATGAGAGCTCTTAGCTAGTCATTTCTCATAGGAGGATGAGCAGGAGGCGTGGACAAGCGCGCACAGAACCACAGTCGTTCTCCAGCGCTGGGAATAGCTCCTCTGAGAAAGGGACCATTCATGAACAATTTGAGAATGGTCAGTAAAAGCTTGCTGAGAGGTGCCGAGGTTGGCGCTAGGCTATTGTTAGCGGACAACGGTACTCTGTGTTCTGGCCTGAGGCAGTTGGGGCTTATGGAACTTAAACCTCCAAAGAGAGCTCTGGTTGTTACACCAGACTGTTACTTGCTTACAGGCGGACAACGTCACCCAACCACCACTCTCTGCCGGAACAGACAACTGACACACAGAAATCACAATTGCGTGATGCATCAAATGAACAACTCCAAGGGCCGTGACGAGATTCGAACCTGCGTCCGAGAGCATCCCCAGACGCTGCCTTAATCGACTGAGCTACGACATGGTCAAAAAGAGGCGAAGAGGGAGAACGGCCTATTGACATAGCTCGAGTGCATGGGAGGAGTTGTGTAAAACCCTGGTTTGTGCGGGAGGAAATGTATATTTTTACCTCTCAGAATGTTTGGTAATGTGTTTATTTGTAATGTGTGTCTATGTATATATTAACACGTTGTACTGAATGGGGTGAGAATAGCTTGAGCTACCTCATCCCTTTGTGTGTATTTTACCTCAATAAACTTATTTCAATTTCAATTTCTGGTTTGTGCCTCGGAAAGGCTACAGGATCCAGTAAGTTCGGTAGAACTTCGGTTTCAACTCCTTTTAACCATGTCGTAGCTCAGTCGATTAAGGCAGCGTCTGGGATGCTCTCGGACGCAGGTTCGAATCCTCGTCACGGCCTTTGTGGATTTGTTCAGACAACCAACCTCGGCAGCCACACTCCCGCTTCCTTCAGTCGACCTACAATGGACACTTGAATGCTTGAAATTTACTCAGGAGGTCACCCTGTACGCCTCTTGATCTTGGAGAGGGGTTCAGCATCACACGTTTAAGGGTGTGGCTCCAACACTGGCTTCGTTATCCTGTGTACACACCCTACTTGAGTCGCCGTGACTCCCCACACTCTCCTTGTTTGGTATGATCTAAATCCCCCTTTTACGAATTAGTACTCTGCCACCCTGTCCGCAGCTGTGATCCTTTCTCTCTTGCTTTCTGGGAAGCCTCACCAGCACAAGAGCAAAAGCTGGTTAACAATATACATTTAATGAACAATGAAAACATGTGCAGTATGACATTAAAAAAAAGGTAAAAATATTATCGTACAACACTCTAAGCTGCTACAACTCGGTACGATTCCAATATCATATCTTGGCTTCACCAACCGTCCACATCAAGCGGCTGCCCAACTCTTGACTTACCACTTACTATTCCCTCACTAAATGGGGTTCAAATCTTGTCACAACAATATTGTACACTCAGCCCTAAAAGTACATAAAACTCAGCCTTTGGCTGAAACACCAGAAACTTCTGCATAAATATTCCCCAACATAAGAAATCAATCTTTCGCCTGACACTGCGTCTTACCTGCCAATAAGCATTCAAGCACTTCCCTTATACATTCTTGTGTGTCCACCATAAACCTCGGCTCTGCTCCTGGAGGCTCACTACCATGGATATCTCCAGGTCCTCCACAATTTTCAAAGAGGCTCTTCTGCAGTCCTCCCAAACTGCTACACAACGAAGTCCTCGTCAAACATCAGTGATGCTTCACCACTGATTCCACGCAGACACGTGAAACTCCTCTTCACTGCTCCTTTACACTGCTTGAGGTCAGCTCCTCACTATGGAGTTCTGCTCTCCCATAGATTTCAGCATACACTTCTCCAGCCTCAAAGTTTCCTCCATTAACTTCTTCCCTGGCCTCAAAGTTCTTCCAACAACTCCTCCCCAAACAAACCTGCAATTCCATTGTCATGGCAATAAAAATGTTTCTCTACTAAAACATAATTAAATGTATTCACATACACATAAAATAAAACTCCTCCATCCGACATCTCTTCAAACTCTAACGCCTCGCCGCGACGGTCTTCCCCCACCCTGGGCGAGTCCATCTTCCAGTGTCCAGACACCAGCCAGGGACTTCCCCCACT